GCCTTTAGCCGTAAAAACGTGCGCACCGCGGTAATTAATTATATGCATAAATGTGGATCATTCACACGTCTATTCACAGCTCATTTACATATCAATACTGGTCCAGTAGCAAATATACGGCCAATGTAGTCACTTTACAATAGACCAATAGAAAACAGCCTGTTTATGTGCGGGAGCTACAGCAGCTAATTGCTAACAAAACCTAAACTAGCTTCAAAGTCGATGTATTTCCAACACTCACCGCTCACACAGGCTCCTCCTCACATCACAAGTCTGCACTAATAAATGTCCTTTTAATCCAGACTCAAACCGATTGTTCGAAAAAGAATATAATCTCAATGTTACGCACCACTGCAGGTGTAAACAAACACACGCGAGTGAAGTGACGTCACTCTGGTGGTGTGTTCAGGGACAGTACGGACACAGACACAGACAAATTACACCGTAGATAAATACTGATGCGGAGCCACATATTAGGAAATTTATCTGTCTGTAAATTGGATTAAATTAACATAATGTAGAGAGTCTAAGTTTTATAACGAGATATAACATGCTCACGTGAAATATCGGCCCATATCAGCAAGCATATCGGCCGATAGCTGATATGTCTCCAGGAGCCCATATTGGCCGATAATATCGGCCAGCCGATATATCGGTCGGGCTCTAGTCTAAATATGAAGGATTTGTGTGTTAAACATGTGTGAATAAAACAAAACTCCAGGTATGTTTTTGATGAGAACAGCATTAGAACATAAATCAGAAAACAGTGTAATATACGCCCATTAACACTGTCGTCTGCAGTTACATTTACAAACATACTTCAAGACACTACCTGCAGTGGACACACGCTATTTGAAATGGCAATACTGACTGTAATTTTTACAAGCTTCAAATTTTGGCTTTATGGGTCAAGCTGAAAGCAAACTGAATTCAGTGAAAGCTTTTAAGCACCCTTTAAACGCCTACTTTGAACTGACGAGTAAACAATGCTTCCTTAGTACAAGTTCAGTCAATTAAACAAAATATTGTGGCAGGATGGACCTTTGGGATATTTGGTACTATTTCAAATAATTATTAATTTATGTGAAAATGTGGACAATCTTGTTTTAATAACTCTTTCAAATAGTCAATAATGAATACATAATAAAGTTAATGCCAAACGGGTCTGTTAAAATGCGTCTGTTCTGGTGCCAGTGTGCCCTTGAGCAAGACATTGGGCATCTAGAGGCGGTTGATGGCAAGTCTGTGCAGCGCTGTGTGTGTGTGTGTGTGTGTGTGCACTGGGTTGTGATCAGAGACTGGAATAGCACTTTAACACGGTAAATGCAGTCAATTAAAGATAATGGTCTCCAGTGTACTTTGGACTATAACAGGCAAGTCTCTTTACATTTTAAATGAGATGTATGAACAAGTATATGGGGTGAAACTCATTGGGTTTTTAGTGGTAACAAAACTGCTGGTCTCATGAGAAATGGGAGGCTGTAAGAATATGGTCAGTAAAATGGTTTGAAGAAGATATGAATATTTTTTAAATGTACAGCAATATATTAAAGATCCTATATTACACAAAATTGACTCCTTGAGTTTTTAGACATGTTATGTTTTTACCTCATTGAAAGCATACCTGCAGTTGTGTTTTGTTTTAATTAGTCTGTCTAATTAGTCTGTCTACATGTCTAAAGGTCAAATGCTCTGTTACACTTTGTGATGTCATGCCTTCAATTTAAAAAGACCATGTAAACAATTCCTAATGATTATTCGGAATTAAACTTAAATCCAAATAAAGTGGGTGGTTTATTAATTTTAAAGCTGAATTAAATTCCAGATGGGGGCAAGCAAGACCAGTGCAAAATGGAATGGGTCCGAGCGGTTCCGTGCTGGAGAAAGTGAGAATGTGCTCCTGAGCTCCTGTCCTGTCCTGTCCTGGACATTAAATAGATTAATGTCCCTGTCCAATTAGAACCCTTCCCGACAAGTTTACAGGTCTGTAAATAACATGAATCTGTTCAAAACTATACAGAATATTCTTTTGTTTTTCTTCAATTATATTCAATCTTAAAACTGTAGTGATTGTAAAAAACACATTTCGTGACAGACAACACGCTAATAGCAATTACTTAGCATCACATCCAAACAACACTTAGCCAGTCGCTTCTTGGTAATATTTATAAATGCATTCATATTATTTTCTTCTTTTGATCATTTCTAAAGCCATTTGTGCCCCTTTCCTTGTAAGCCCTGTTTTGTTTCCCCATGTTTTGGTACAGCTCCTCTGGGCTTTCTTTGTCTCACTGCACTCCACTCTCCTCCTGCTGCCGGTAATTTTGTTTTTTCATTTGTGCAAATAAATTAAAGCTAATAACCACAATACTACAAGGAATTTTCTTTTTGTAAGATTCCATAGGGGGGGTGGGGGTAATATTGGGTCCAAATTATTCCGAGCTTCATAAGAACTTTTGTGTTACCTCTATTCAATTACAAAAACATAAAAAAGGTAATGTATGGATAAACTGGTTCTATTTATTATACAGAAAATCAAGAGCATGCATAAACTGATTTTTGAGCTTATTGCAGTTTGTTCCGTCATCAAAAAACATACTTAGTTTTACATTTTTTACCGCCAGTGTGTTTAAGTAAAGCATACCCGGACTATCTCCTCCTTAAGAGCTGAAATCCTCTCCTTGGCTTCTCCAGCTTGAGCTCTGCTGTGCTTTTAAAGTCTATAGACTGAGTGCAGCAAGTGCAGCCATTTGTGCTGTTAACATGAAGATTGCAACCCTAGCTAATGATGTATTATCAGCGCACTAAAACAGTGAGGTAAAACAAGTTATAAATGAACAATAGTGAATGGGATACTTCTTAATGACTCATTTGTGTTAAATGCAGGTAAGTGAGTAAATGACAAGTAAAAATGTGAATGAAAAGTTGAGTAGCTAGTCACATACTAGTCAAATAAGGTTCATTTGGTCTTACAGTAATTTGTTAATAGGTTCTTTTTTCAGACCAAGAGTTTGTTTTCATACCTGAGTAAAAAAGTCATAGTAAAAAAAAACAAACATTGTCTATAAACTAGGACGAGGGAGCTTTTTTACTCTCACATACCTGGGATACTGTCCTGAGGAAGTCGGACTGCAGATGGCGCTGTCTTCCTGCCTCAACCGGTAGGAAGACAGCACCAAAACCTGTACAAATCAGCTGACTGGACACATCACAGGAACATCATGTGACCACTCTGAGGAAGACCGCTAGTGAGAAGTTGAAACTGTGAGGTATGAAAACAAACTGTTGGTCTGAAAAAAGAACCTAATAAATAAAGGCTAGTGATGTAGTCTGATACACCCTCTATAAGGTGAATGTACATTCTATTGCATTGTTTCCCAAAGACTAAGTCGTGACCCACAGGTGGGTCGCAAGAGATTTTTTTGATATGTGCCTGATATGCATGTTACACTCTCCTCCTGCACTCCGGACTGAAACGAGCTACAAAAACACAAACAGGCCCATCTATTTCATTAGAAATGTTGAAATGTTAAGACATGTTTTGTATCATTTCTAATCTTTTTGTTATTATGTTTATTTATTTATTGACTATTTTGTTCCAATACTGCTGGTTCAATTGAATGTTGAAACGACAAAGAAATGGGCTATATTTAATGTCCAAATAGGCGACTTACCTATATACCTTTAATTGCTGGTTAAATTACTGTTTTTCATTGTTTAAAACTTGAGTTCAGAGAGACACGATCACTCAGTCAACAAAAAAATATTCTCTTTAATGTTCAATAATGGTCAAAAAGAGTTTGGGAAACATTGCTCTACTGTCCCTGTAGGGAAATTTGTTCTCTGCATTTGACCATCCTTCAGTAATGGATTGCCTGCAGGAAACCCAGACACAGGGAGAAACACGCAAACTCCACATGGAAATCGAACACACAACCTTCGTGCCGGCCACTCGGCCTCCACTCCGCCACCTTCAATGGACCTGCTTTGATGATTTTGCTGCTCAAATTACCTTCACAAACATTCATTACCAGCTAATTACCAAGTTCGAAAATATCAGCCTCATTTAACCTACTTCACATTGCCCGATGTTGCTGACAGAGAGCATAGGTCTGACTCACACACACACACACACACCCCCATGCACGCACACACACACCACGCACGCACGCACACGCACACACACAGTATAGGTGCACTATGCAACTTTTCTGGTGGATGAGCCAATACCTTCTTGCCTTTACTGAGATGTTATTGCACTACTATGCTCACCCTAAACCATCAAGTATAATAGGTATAATACTCCCTACAATGGAAGCATAACCACAATCAAATGCACAATGCTGTCACAATGTTTTAAAAGGTCAAGTCTCCAGGTCCCCTACTGAATAAATAAGTAAATAAACTCCATCTTCGTGTTTCTTCTAATGACTCTTGGGCTACTTCAATTTATTCTAACAGTCAAAGTAACTCAATACAAGAGGGTGGTTTACCCCTGTCCAGAAAAGTTACATATTTCAACTTGAAACACACCAAAAAAAACAGATTAAAGGCCCTATATTACACACAGTTAACTCTTGTGAGCTTGATTAGAAAGTTGCTACCTCGTCAAAAACAAACCTGGAATTGTGTTATGTTTCATTCACACATGTTTGAATAACTCTTTGCTATTAGTCTGTCTACATCTCCAAAGCTCAAAATGCTCTGCTCCACCTTGTGATGTCATGTAGTTGTAGTTTTCAAGTTAACAGATCCCTTTTGATTATGATGAGTATTTATGTTTTAATTTGTTTGTATTGTATTGTGATTTTTATGTATTTCTTATTCTGTAAAGCACTTTGAATTACTTTGTGACAAGAACTCAGCCTAAATTTGTGCGTTAATCATGTGCAAATGACATAAAACACAACTCCAGGTAGGATTTCAATGAAGAAACAACATTATAACAAAGATCAGAAAATATCAAAAAGAGCATAAATGATGGAGGAGCTGATGCTTACAGGTACCTGGCTGGAGAGGCTGAAGTTGGTAGCTGGACTGCGCTTCTTGCTGGCCGCTGTGCCCAGGCTGCTGTTGGCGCTGCTGGCAGAGTTCTTCCGTTTCCTCCTCTTGGTGGTGGTCTGTCGGGCAGGCTCAGCTTTGGCACGACCAGCAAACACAAACACACAAACCAACAACATAATGCATACTGACAGGGCAAGGGGGGCATGAGGGAGGAGAGCAGGGGGCCAAGCCAGGGCTGGGGTCAATAGTTTAAATCAAATACTACATCAGTTCATTCTATATTAATGCTGCCCTTTACATGTTCAATTTTAAATGTCCAATATAGAAATAGTTATTCTTAGAGATGCACCGATCCACTATTGGTATCAGATATCAGCGCCGATACTGAAAAATTTGCTGTATCGGATATCAGCTTCCAAAATCGCTTCAGCCTGCTTGAAAGTATTAATGGATGTATGAAGACAATTAACTAGTCGTTTTTGGCCCAGAAAGTCTCATAGTGATAGCATTTTTATTTATGCAAAGCTGTTCTCAGGGTTCCCAATCTTTTTCACTGACAAAATTTCAAAACTTTTTCATGACTTTTTCATGACTTAAAGTGAATTTTCCATGACTTCACAGCACCCTACATGTGTAGAATTTACTTTCAGTACTAAATATGAAATGTTAACCCTTTCCACTCATCTGATGGTTTAGTATTATAGTTTTATAACAATCAAAATACTGTCAATGTATTTTTTGCATTTGCTTTTAAACAAAAGGCGGATACATTAGAAAATAATCATAATAGCCTAATGATAATGTAACAGAATGCTGTAGTTGCGTGAAAGAGATACTAAAATTCTATGACTTTTCCATAACTTTCATTGCATTTACAATATTCTTGACTTTCCAGGCCTGAAAAATGACATTTTCAATTTCCATGACTTTTCCAGGATTTCAATGACCGTGGGAACCCTGTGTTCTGTCTTTACATGAGTGATAAATACATTTGGAACAGTTTTGTCTTTATTTTTCTTTTAAGGAAATAGATTAATGTTTTCAGTCTCTGTACTGATATCAGTTGATATCGACAAATACTTAAATCCCTAGAATCGGAATAGCTGGATTGGTGCATCCTTACTTATTCTGGGATGATGGTGGCACAGTTGGTAAGTGCCCAGTGCCCAGTTCTAATTCTGTCATTGGGTCAAGCACTTCAGTCTCATTCCTCATTACCTCCGCCAAGGAGGTTATGTTTTTGCCGGTGTTTGTCTGTTTGTTTGTTTGTTTGTCTGTTAGCAACATAACTCAAAAAGTTATGGACCGATTTTGATGAAATTTTCAGGATTTGTTGGAAATGTGAAAAGGAGGAACTGATTTCATTTTGGGGGTGATCTGGAAGAAATCCTGGATTCTGGATCACTTTGAAATTTTAGTTAACATTGTGGTAAATGGGGCCAAAAATGTAGTTTCTCAATATCTCGGTTAATTATTGACCAAACCCCATGAAATTTGACTCAGGGATGGACAATGGGATCCTCTTTCATATCCCAAAGGCTGATCCGGATCTGATCCAGAAGACTGATTTTATCGCAATTTATATAAAAAATGGGGGTAGTCCTTGGCGGAGGTCTGCGCTCTCTGAGTGCTTTTCTAGTTTTGTATTTTTTTTTAGATTTTTTATTTTTTTTTAAGAATAGTCACTTTCTATAACTTGGTTCCTTAAGATAAACAGTCTGTCAACTTCTAAAATCCAAATGTCTAGATAATTATTATTATTTATCATTTACACCATTTGAAATATCCCAAACATATCCAATGAACAATTTTCAAAGTTATTGTAACTTATGTAAAACAATATTATATTTTACCCCACCCAACCTGAGCACAAAATATAATCATTCCCTACTGAATAACATGCCATTCTACATAAAGTGATGCAAGCAGACAGGAGACAGAAGAAAACAGAAATGTGTTTAGCAGACACACAAAAGCAGCTAATCTCCAGCGCTCCATCCAGGATTTGCAGTGTTCAGAGGTGACAGTGCGTCTGTGGACATCTCCCAAGAAACGCACGAGTAAAACAGAGCTGAAATCTGCATGAGCGTTCAACAACAAACAGCCAGACGTAATGATTCAAGCAGGTTAGAAAACACTGATATAAGGCTAGTTTAGAAAAAGGAATAAATAAGGTAAAACAGTTGAATTCAGAATATTATGGATTTGAGGGTTTTTTCCCCATAAATTTCTTGACTTTTTAAAACATTTTTAACCAGGTTGGTCAATTAGAACCAATTTCCGTGTACTCTGAATAGATTATCCAACTTCCTTTTAGAATTATCTGAAATTATTTCTAATTACAATTCCAATTTTCTTCACCCCACTGGAAAGCAAAAAAAATAAAAATCAAGACACAGAGGAGGGACACTTTTGTCCAGAGGGGCTCTTAACCTCCTCAAACTGCCCTGACACTGGATCTGCTGACCAGTTCAGTTAATCTGCACTGAGACCTTTAACTGAGACACAAAGGCGACTGAGAAGCAAAGTGTAAATGTTTCTGCAGCAAAACTTGAATCTCCCTAGGGATTGATAAAGTATCTCTCTCCCTCTTTCTCTCGTACTAGTAGTGCTTACAAATAGACATAGATCAATTATACACAGAAATTAACACTTAAACTACAGAATAAGGACTCAAATCAATATTATTCTGAATTCAAGACATCATTACTTTCGCATATTCCTTTTTGCAACGGTGAGCTCAAGTTGTTTCATGCACTATATGCAGAGAAAGCATTAGTACAGCCACATAACATGAAGTTGAGTATTCAAAACACATGCCAACATTCACCACATTGAGCCTAGCAACAGAGCGCGTGCAAATGTAAGAGGGAAGATACCTTTTTTGTGATTCGTGGGGAATATTTCCGTTTTGAAGTTCTGTGGGTGTCCGGCTGCAACAAGTATAGTTCGCTTAGATCTAGTATCTTCATAAACATTTTGTCATTCAGTTAAAAATAAAAAAGTTGATAAAAAACAAAAACAAAAACTGCAGTCACACATTTTAATTGATTAGTTACAGAATAAGACTGTATTGTAAGGTGGGTATTGCATTTTTGTATGGGTTACAGGCAGAGCTCTGGTTGTTACTTGTTTACTTGACGTTGCTTCTTGGAAAAAGTCAAATAATAAGCCAACATACTTTCATAAGTAATATATGGCAGAGACCACAGATAAGTAAGCATATTTTTAATGCTTTGAATGTGATTTTAAACTTGCAACACTTAAATAACTTAGAATAGAATAGGCCATATATATAGAATAGGCCTATATGTAGAATAGGTCAGACATGTCAAACTCAGGCCCAGGGGCCAAATTTGGCCCGCGATACAATTATATTTGGCCCGTGAGATCACATCAAATATGTACTAGAGCTGGCCCTGCTGGCTACAGATAGGTTATAGAGACATTATTTATTTAAAAATGTTGTTATTTTTTTTATATTATGCTTGTTCTGGATTCAATGTTTAAGCAAAACTATTATTAAACATTTATTTTAATAAGAAAAGGTTTAACATTACATATCTCGAAAGAAGAGATATAAATAGATAGAAATAAATATTTAGTTTGGCCCACGACTTAGTCCCAGTTTTTAATTTCGGCCCTCTGTGAATTTGAGTTTAACACCCCTGCTCTAAGTGGACATGAGGAATACAATATTTGGGGAAAAAAAAACCCAAAAAACATATATTTTAACACAGTGAAAAATAACAAGAAATGTTTCAACATCTATAAGCATACAAAGAGTATAGACCGCTGGGAAACTGTTCAAAGATGTTTATCCAATTAAAGACGCCAGGCACAATCCCTTAAGGGGCAATTATATCATAAACGCAGTCATTGGAATTAGAGAGATCTAAGCAGGTGTAATCGAGATCTTAATGTTTTTATGTATAAATATATGATACTGTAAATCTGCCAACAACTGCTATAAATTATTACTGCTTTAATCCCAAGAGATGGAAACTATGAAATACATTTGTTTTCAGTGCTTTCCATTTGCACCAAGGAAAATGTGTTATATAACCGCCATACAAAAAAGTAAAAAATAAAAAAATTAAAAGGTTGCATATTAACAAGATTGTAGAAATTGGTGTCATTAATTCAGAGGGTAAGTTCCAGTATAACTCGATGGGTTATTCACTATATCCATACAGAAAATGTACATATATTGGAGTTAATATTTTTTGTTAGGGGTTCACAAATTTGACGGTGTACTGTTTCCATATAGCTGTACAAAATGAGTACAGGGATGCTAATTATAAACCAGGTCAAAATGTTGAAATATGAATTAAAAGATAAATACTATCATAGTGTTTTGACCTCCTCTTTGTCTCCATATTAAACTATGTGCCGTGTAAAATGCTCTGATGCCACATGAATGCAATTTAAAAGATGATTTGTAGTATTATATTATTATTATTATATCACAATAATAAAATGAAAGACTCCTTGCTAGACTATATAATTAAAGGTGGACCATGTAACTTGTCACTTGCCTGCTGGTCTCCATGGTGACGTTAGTTATTTTGTCTAGAATGCTCCACAGAAATGCATTTAACTAATCTATCCAGCTTTTATTCCATTACTGGTTTTCCTACTGCTAGACAACATGCATTTTTTTTGTGAGCGGGGCCTCCTCTCCACAGATTTGACCTGTAACTTGTCTTGGCGCGATCAACTACCTGTCTCAGTGGAGTTACAAAAGTTTAAGTGTGCCTTTAAATTTCCAGCACAACATAACAGTAGTACTTTTAAAAAATATAATAATCTTTAAAATCCTACTATTTTTTTCATCTGTACTGAAACCTGTTCAAATGAGTATTTATTTTCAGTACTAGTTTTCAATTAATATTGGGTTTCAATACGTTTGACAACCCCAGTAATTACTAATAATAACTTATTTTTCACTTTCTCTCCTGGTTTAATTTGTGAATTTGACACGTGTGCAAAAATCTATTGTTTTCCGGCGTACACTATTGTCATTTGTGTTATCCATGTGGTTTCCTCTTGCAGTGACGCACTCCGAGTTGCTTCCATTTCCACCAAAAGGACTTATCGGAGCAGAAATACACCCGCACCTTCCTTCCTTGGCCCAATCCCAAACCGCTTCCAAGCAGGAGAAGAATCGCAGGAAAAGGGGAAAAACAAGAAACCGACAAGGAAAATCGCAATTCCAGCTAAAGCGCAAAACATCAGACTAACTGTGTCCAACTAGAGAGGAGGGACAGAGGGCATGTCTGTGACCTCTGTGTGGGGGCATGAGAAAATATCGAGATTTAGTGAATAATATTGTAGATTCTTTATTCATTTTTACATTATGTTCAAATTGGAAATATTTGGTGAGGAATTTCAGTTTGATGAATTTGTTGGTTTGTTGTTGCCAGTGCTGTACAGTTAAATGTACTCTAAGTAACATTTCTGGTGGAGTCTCCCAATTGTCTCAATGAAAATTTTATTGCCTTTGTCTGAATTTAATGTTTTAAACTGATATATTTGCATATTCCAACTAAACTGAAAAACATGCATTTTTACTGAAAGCAGGGTTGCCTCTCCAAGGATGTGTCACCAGCTTTCCCTCAAGATAGCTGACTTTAATGACATACTGTGGAACATTCCAGTCATATATTAGTCTATAGCAGGTGACAGACCCTACAGCACAAATGTTACATGGTGCACTTTTAAAATCCTGTATTTTATAAAATTTAAAATAACATTTAAAGGAAGAAGACTTACCCCGACTATACAAACTGTATCAAACTTGCAATGAATTTGAATCATACATATAAAGTACTCTAAGTTTCTAATCTATACTACTAACAATAGCTAAACGTTACACCATATGGACTCTCTTTGTTTAATACAAATCTATTTATTTATTTTTTCATACAATCGAACAAGTATTTTCTGTATTCTAGAGCTCTGGAGCGGACGGAGAGCAGGCAGCCTGATTACACTGCTTTTAATTAAACGTATACACCCAGGTCGAATCAAAGGTTTTTTGACTGCTGTTGCTTTTTAAAGACATCTCATCACGCCTGGCTAAGCATTACTGTAATTTGCAGCCACTCCGACGTGTGCAAAAGAAAAAAAAAAAAAAAAAAAAAATCATCATATTCCTTTTACGAATCCTGCCGGTGATGCCAATTTGTGGCTGCTACTGCTTTTCAGAAACCTCCCTTAAAACATCAATCGTAGAAAAAAATCGGAGCGGTTTGGGATCCGCAGCCAGGAATTCCGATTAATTTCACGTACCTGACAGGCAAAACGCATTTACGGGATTAAGACATATAATGGCAATTTGGTTACATAAATGATGCAATAAAAACAGTGAGGGGAAAGAAAATATCCCTGCTCCCGCCGAGTGACAGATGGTGCAGAATTTCAATGAATCAAAGCTGGTTTCAAAGGACGGCTTTAAAAGCACTTGACATGAAAAGTGTTGGACGATGACTTTATCCTGTTATTTGAACATTGATTTACATAACAAAAAGTATGAATGCATAATGAGGCACACTTGGGGACAATTGAAATAGACATCGCAATACAATAGTGATCAAAAAATAAACAAATAAAATCAATATCAAAAGTCAAAACGCATGTCTTATTTTTTACAGTAACTTTTTAATAGTAATTTTGTTTTCTTTTTGGAAGTTATGTGCGTTTCTATCATTATGCTACTTTCTATTTAAAGGTGCCCTATGTAACTTTTTCTAGAGGAGGGTCCGCCACCTGCTTGTCTCCATGGTGATGTAATTACTTTGCCCGAATTGTTTCCAGACTGGCTAAAACTTGCCTTTCTCCGTGGACACAAGCAGATGACACCAGTATGCCAAATTACTTGTCAGATCTATGCAGAGGTGACTCACTAATGAAAAGAATGTTTTTCAAGGTATTAAAAAAATGGTAGATTAGTTAAATGCCCTACTGTGGAACATTCCTGGCAAGGCAATAACAAGCAGGTACTAGAAAGGTTACATAGTGCACCAAACTAGTAAATGTATTTTCTTTTTCTAGAACGTAATTCTAAATGGTTTCATCGTTAAAGATTTTTGCACGTTTATGTCATGTTGATTTTAAAATAAAGCACTTTAGTCAGGGCTCAATTAATAAAGTTTGATTGATTGAATGATTGAAAATCTTCAGCACTCTTGCTCTTACTTTTCAAATTTCACGTTCTAAATTTGGATAGTGCACCCTATAGTGTGTGCAGAAACAGGTGAAACAAACTAGTTCTTTCAATATTATATATATATATTTTTTTACTTTCCAAGATTAGTTTCAATTACTTTTCTAATATTTCAAAATGTTCAGCACGTGTAATATGAAAATTCAAAATCTTTTTCTGCGATGTCAAGTTGTCTTCGCACATTTGCCTGGTTGAAAACACGTGTGTGAGCAGAGGGTAGTTACCTGGTGGAGCGACCATCCTCTGCCACTTCTGGAACAGGCATGTTTTCAGACAGTCTCTGGGGCTGAGGTTGTACGTCTTGTGCCGGGACATGAGCTCCTGCATGGGCTCCAGGATGACGCACAACTGCACACAAATAAAATATAACAACAAAACATGATGTATTAGGTTGTATTTGTATCCCAAATGTAAACCACAGTGTCATGACCTGTAAAATGTAACACAGGTATGAGAGATTGTGTGAAAGACAAACGATATTAGTTATTTTTCTGCTTATGAGTAAAACATGAACACTTATATTAACATGAAAATGTACATGTTAATCAATGGAGTACAACTACTGTATTCTATATATGAAGTGTTTTAGTTCCTTTACTTCAATGATCTACAGCTCAGAAGTGAAACAAGAATTGTGCTTTTTGAGGAGAATAGTTTTTATAACATACCCTTTAAGTCAGCTATTGTCATCTATAAAGAATGAGCAAAAGTCCAAAGCATACAGTAACAGTGACGGTTTAACATTTGACGTAGGGGCGGGTGATATGAGAGAAAAAGAATCACAATTTTTCCCGCCATATTAATCTATATCAATCAATTTTCAATTAAAACCATAGACAGCTATAAAGAGCATACCATTTTTTATTGTTGATATAACCAATAATTCTGGGGAAATCCACATTCAAAGTTTGGAATGAGTTTATAGAATATATTAAGCCTAAAAGCACACACGCATACCCACTGTCGGCAGAAACACGAGAACGCACGCACTATCACCAGAAATACGTGTGATGTCCGTGCGCTAAATGAGGTCTTACGTTTCTCTCAGAAGCGGTGAGAAAATAGACACTTACTTCACATAACTTGGATTATAATGATAAAAAGCACAAAAGGACAGAAAGAGGAGAAAAGGCGGGGATCAGAGAGAGGGAAGGGGAGCGGGGGCAGATGTACAAACGGAGGCAGAGGCACAGGATGTTTAAATTGCGTAGATTTAACTTCAAATTTCTGAAACACAAGGACATGTGAGGAGATGCATACACAGAGCCAGACTTTGACTCAGATCTTTCTCCTAAACAAGTGAGCGGTGACTCCTCTTCAATAGGGGTGTGCAAAAAATATCAAAATATCAATATATCGTATCGTTTAATGTGATGATACATATTGATATAGTGGGCTGCTGTATCAATATATTGCCAAGAGTATTTTTTGGTATATTTTACTCAATAATTTGTTAGTTTTGTTGCTTGTTTAGAGGAAACTTGTTTATGCGACACATTTCAGATATTCACTGTTTTGATGAGTAAGGTGTGTCTCATGTTTCATCGAATAGAGCTGGGTATCATTAAGAATTTGCCGATACGACACATCCCTCGAACTATAGGCCACAATACGATACATATCTCGATACAGTGCACTTTCGATTCAATACGATATATTTTAAATTGATTCGATTCAGTAAAAAATAATAGCTAAAACATGTCTGTGATACTAAAATTCTTTGTTAAACCAAAGTTAATATGAAACACAAACAGTTACTGTAAATCATCAAAACTGTGAATATGTCAATTAAATGAGTTTCCTTCCTCTGAACAAGCAACAAAACTGTAGAGCTGTAACAAAATAATTTCGTAAAATATACAAGAAAATACTCTTGGTGATATATCGATACGGAAGCCCATGATATCGATAGTGTATCATCACATTAAAAGATGACGAAACGATAGATATTTCAATATTTTTGTACACCCCTAGTATCGAATTGAAAGTGCACTGTATCGAGATATGTATTGTATCATGGCCTATGTATCGAAGTATATAGTATCGGCAACTTCTTAATGATACCCAGCCCCACTCTTCAGTACCACTTATTGCTACATGATCGGCTGTAGACTTGTCGATTAAAATGTGCTTGTCTTATTATCACAATCGACCAAAGTTTATATGATCTTTTGACTTTTGGCACAGATTTGACGTGTTTCGCACAAGGACATTATGTATTGTTAGTTGTGGGAATTGAACCACCAATCTTTGTGTTGTCAACCATAAAGAATGAACAAAAACCCAAAGTACAGAGCAACTGAAGTTAAATTTGACACTGCCCAATTCTCACTCCTTCTCTTATCAACGTAAAACAAAACATTGTCTATTAAAACAAGGCTGATTTTGCTTCTCCAATAATTACCTCCAGACAGACAGTGAGTGATTAACAGTGAGGTAAAGCCACTTGTTTCTCTCACACTGTTAATATAGAGCCTCTAAAAGCTGAGTTATGACCCAGGGGACGAGTACACAGATAAAACAGAAGAGACGGACAGCGGGATACAATCTTCTGTTATGTGTCTTTGTTTGAACGGTTCACACCATGTAAATCATATGTGGGTTTATAGTATGAAAGGGTTCCAGCATTCAAAGAGCAGGCGTAGAGTGAGCAGCTAGCAGCATCTATGCATTGGTTTCAGAATGATGAGCAATTGGGACCGCTGCCATAGCAATTAACAATTTCAAACAAAATATGATATCTTATAAATGGGAAAAGTTCACACATTGTTGCATATAACAAGATGCTGAAAGTGAGAATTTCAATGACTACTTAATATTACTTCATGATTAAAGGTGCAGTATGTAACTTTTCTGGTGGTGGACTGTCACCTGCTTGTCTCCATGGAGATGGAACTTTCAACTGTATGGCATTAAACTTATATTTCACCACCGCCAGACCAAGATATAGGACAGCTTAAGAGGGGACCCACACTCAGAGTAAGCATGTATGTTTTATAGGGATGTAACAATAACTGAAATCTCGTGATACCGTATTGCCAAAAGTCTCAGAATAGTATCGTGGGCTGTCATAATATATGGAATTACAAGTTCCTTTGCTTAAATGCATGGTTTTACAGTAGGAACAGCTTATGAACATTAAAAACTACATATCCCATGATTCACTTCAGTGCAGACAACATGCAGAAATATGTTTTTTACTTGAATTCTTGGGATTATGAGGGAAATAATCATCAATATCTGGTCAAGGTATTTTAAAACCAAAAGTGTCCTATCTATCTCTGCCCTCAAATCAATATCGCAATAAATATTGTACCGTGAGATGCATATGGTGATAATATCGTACAGAGAGATTTGGATATCGTTACACCCCTAATGCTTTATGAGGCTATATTTAAAACACCTAATTGAAAAAAACAAAACAGATGTTTAATACTGCAACATTCCAAGCAAAGCAATAACAGCAACTCCCTCTGGAAAAGTCACATAATGTACCTTTAACAAATGTATTACTGTAAATATAAAATGGTAATAGAATAAACCAAATTCAGCATCATGAGAAAAGTAAAAACATACTAGGTTTTGGTCTCAATGTTGGTCTATTTGATAGCGTTAGTCAGTTAATTAACATACATGTGTACACATTTGGCATGATTTTGCAATTATAATAACATTTTAGATATAGAAATTATGTAAGAAAGTATGGATGCTACAGAATTTCCCAAACTCTTCAAAGTATTGATTAATTTTCTGTACTAGATTGATTCTCTGAACAACTTGGAACAATATTTTACCATTTCTCAATAAGTCAGAAATATAAAAACACTGGACAAAGAAAACTTAAATGACTGAAACAGAATCTGGTAACAATCTGTGTGCATTCAAATTTCTGTTGTAGTCATTGACATTAACAAGCAACCAAAGCTGCCAATGTCTTGCTATAAACGTGGCCAATATCTTTACAGTACAACTTCGTCCCCTGCATTTTTTATGGCTAGACAAACTCCGATCTTTTTTTCCCACACTTTCCACCATCTCCAGGTCTGGTTTGGTCTGTGTTTTGGGCCAGTAAATCCTTAGAGAGGTGCGGGGAGAGGAACCGGGGGTCGGCCTGTCATTTTCAATCCATCAGACTCAGCCTACACAACCACAAACATCTGGAGAACATTACCACCAGGTTCCTAGCCTTGTTCTACTAAAGCAGCCGTCTAAAAACACCATTTAGGTGCTGGGACGCCGGGATTGGATACAGATGTGATTGGCGTTTTCATGGTCCAATCACGAGGAGGCACTAGGATCAAACGCCAGACCGGCTGAGCTTTCTTATCCCTAAATGGATCCTTCTGTCTTCTCAAAGGTCATTATAGTGTCCTCGTGGATTTATATGCAATGATAAAAGTGGCATCAGCTTAGAAAATAAAAGAAACTTAGAAAAACAAAATAACTGCCTATTTACTCACTGGTACATTAATTTTAATGTGTTTTTGTTGTTGGAAAATAAAAAGTATAAACTATTTACATCTTTTTTCACTTTTGAACACATTTTGAATTTATTAGACTCCAGACTTAATACTGATACTTTGGAGCTGATGCCATTAACATTCCCTGGGGGTGTGATACTAACAGGCAGCACTGCTCTGTCTGAACCTCTACTACTCCTGTTAGACTCTAATCCCGCCTTAAATTTTACAAACTGACTAAAAAAGCCTGACGTAGTTTGAACTATAACAGGAGAGCTGATTTGTGCTAAAGTCTCCCAGAAATAGAATAGTTTGGGAGACCAGTGTCGAGGACTGGGTCCATTGGTGAAAGACGCTCTCTGCCTTATGTTTCAACAGAGGCACAGGAAGATAATGAGTAAGTAAGTAAAATATAGAATTACAATCACAAAGTAGCGAGCATTAGCCAACAATTAGTCACTCTCATCTTTTTAAATAAATCGATTCAATACGGCTCAAGAAAAAAATAATGGCTATATCAAGCCTGTGATACAAAAAAGTCTTTGTTAAACCACTTCTTGCAGAAAGTTAATATGAAACATGACAATTTTAATCAAAAACGGTGAAAATGTCAAATGTGTCGCATGAATGAGTTTCCTTTATCTAAACAAGCAACAAAACTGTAGAGCTGTAACAAAATAATTGAGTAAAATATACCAAAAAATACTCTCGTAATATATCGATACAGCAGCCGATGATACTGATACTGTATCATCACATTAAATGACACAATATATTGATTTTTTTTTTTTTTTTTTTTTTTTTGCACACCCCTAATCGCAAACCAGCGTATTGATCACAGGCTCCTGGAAATGTGTTGTTTAAAACCATTTTGTTTTTTGTCTTGAG